TTAGCTGGGCCAGTGTGTGCTGTGATTGGTTAGCTGGGCCAGTGTGTGCTGTGATTGGCAGCACTTGGCGCCTGTCGGGAAATATCACGCCCCTTACCAGCTCCTTCTGAAGTGGACTTTGAGCTTTGTAACTTTGCAGATCTTTTTTTAATGCTCAAACAGCAACATTACAGACTAACTAAAGTTGAAAAAGTGAAAAAGCATAATAGGACCCCTATAAAGGTAGGGTAGGCGATTTCGGAGTGGCTAGCAATAGCAAGCTAGCTCTGAAAGCATAAGATCCCACCCTCCCTGCAAATCACTCTCCAAAGCCACGCCTCCTCCAGAACACATGAGCGCACACAGGTTAACCAGCAACATGATGGTGGAGGGTTGAATGCAACACTGTCAGATTACCTCGTGTCTCATTCACCGGTGAGAAAACACTACAGTTCAAAAGCACATTATATTACAACAATAACGCCTTTCATTCTCACTCGGTCTACAATAGTGTAATGGAACGCACTGATGACGTTTCATGTCTGCATGAACAGGGTGCACGCAGGTATGCAAATACATACATTGACAGGCAGGTAGGACAGCCTATCGTAGCTCTCGGGCCGAGGAATATGATTGGATGAACATTTTATGGTCCTGTGCCTTCCACAGACGATATAAATACATATAAACTTATGTATTTATATTATATAAATACGTAACGCTAACCCCTAACCCTTTCAACCAGAATAACTAAAAAAAATGTGTGAATCAAATCACCTACACTGCCTTTAAACAAAGCCTAAAAATCTATTAAAGAGACAGTTCACCTAAAAATGTAAAAAAAAAATGCTGTCATTATTTACTCACCCTCAAGTTGTTCCCAACCTGTATAAGTTTCTTTCTTCTTTTGAACACAAAAGGAAGATATTTTGAAGAATGTGGGTAACCGAACAGTTGCTGGTCCCAACTGACTTCCATAGTATGGAACAAATAAAAATACTATGGAAATCAATGGGGACCAGAAACTGCTTGGTTACCTGCATTCTGCTCCTTCTGTGTTCAGCAGAAGAAATTCTTAAGGCATGGAACAACTTGAGGGTACATTTTCATTTTTTGGTGAACTATCCATTTATTGTGTAGCTAACAATAAAAGTCATTTCAGACGTGAAGAAAGTTGTTACATTATGATGAAAGGTTACAAAGACAAGCATTTTTTCTCTCTTTGGAATAATATGAATTTAATGACCCGGGAATGGCCATTAAGAAAGTAAATACAGTTCATTTAGATTTCATGTTGACTTGAAATTTCAGCAAATGCTCTCAATTAGTGACAAACAAGGACTGATACCTCAAAGTATTGACCGGGTGAGAAGGGAAAGCTGGGGAGGGAAGTCTCCTCAACCCCCCAACAACCAGACAGGAAAGAGTTTCGAATGAAGGAACCAGTTTTGAAACGAGGGTTTAAGTGTAAAGCAATGTCCTCGGAGTTACTGATGCGCAGGTTTACAGAGAATCTGTGGGGATAACGGAAGAAATCGAAGACATCAATACATAATTTAATGAGAAATGGGTTAAAAATGACAAAAAGCATGTATTATATATTATATATCTAGAATATTCCAGTGGCATTCCTGATGGTTGTTTTCTTCTCATACCTCTCTGGGGAACCAGAGATCTGCCCCTTCACCATAATGGAATCTCCTGGACTCAATCCTTTCGCAAGTTTGCTCTTAAATGGAAGACTCTGGAGCAAAAAAAGAAACACATCTGACAATGGTTTCAAATTCAGCACGACAAAGACAGCACAACCACCACAATAATTCCCAGCTATTACTCCCACGTTATTGCTATGCAGTCAATTAAGGCTGGAATACACAACACATCTTTTAACATCGGAACAGATTTTAAACCACTAGGAATCAGACACTTGCCGACTTTGTAAATGGTTACAGAGAAAACCTGGGCATAACACACTAAATGACTGAGGATCACACACTAACACACTTTTCAATTCGTTCCTGAAAAAAAACAAACAAATGTGCATCTGAGGGACGCATGAAAAAAATGAAAACAATATGTGTTCTGAAATTGACTCAAAATATCAAACGTGTTTGAAATCCTCCAACTGGATGGAATCATAGGCTGAAGCTAAAAAGGTCTGTGCCAATCGTCTATATGTGATTTTCTCTGAAATACCAGCTCGACTCGTCCAGATTGCAAAACGGGGGGAAAATCTGTGCAAAAGTTGGGTGGTATATTCCAGCATTAAAGGGATAGTTCACCCAAAAATGAAAATGTGATGTTTATCTGCTTACCCCCAGGGCATCCAAGATGTAGGTGACTTTGTTTCTTCAGTAGAACACAAACAGAGATTTTTAAGTCAAACCGTTGCAGGTTGTCAGTCATATAATGGAGGTGAATTGGAATCGCGGCTTTGAGGGTCAAAAAAACATACACAAACAAAACCAAATTAAACCCTGCGGCTCGTGACGATATATTGATGTGTAAAGACACAAAACGATCGGTCTGTGCAAGAAACTGAACAGTATTTATATCGTCTTTTACCTCAGATTTTCACTGCAATGTCTGAATTGTCCTGAGCACGTTCAACAGCCGGCGCCTGACGCGTCTTCTTCTTCTTCTTGCTTTACGGCGGATCGCAGACTTATAAGTGCATTACTGCCACCTATCTCTCAAATGGACCA